TAACCCCCACACGTTGGCCCTCAGGACATTGATCCAGCCTGTCCAGATCCCCCTGAAGAGCCTTTCTACCCTCAGTCAGATCAACACTCCTGCCCAACTTGTTGTCACCTGCAAACTTGCTGAGGGTGCACTCGATCCCCTCATCCAGATCACTGATAAACATGTTAAACAAGACCAGCCCCAAAACAAAGCCCTGGGGGACACCACTTGTGAACGGCCACCAACCAGACTTCCTCCATTTACCACAACCCTCTGTGCTCTGCCCTCCAACCAGTTTTTGATCCAGCTGTCTAAGCCATGAGCTACCAGCTTCTTTAAGAAAATGCTGTGGGAGACAGTGTCAGAGGCTTTATAAAGTGCAGGTAGACAACATGCACAGCCTTCCCCTCATCCACCAGGCGGGTCACCCCGTCATAGAAGGAGATCAGGTTGGTCAGGCAGGACCTGCCCTTCATGAACCCATGCTGGCTGGGCCTGATCCCCTGGTTGTCTTGGAAATAATACTGCCTTGGAAGAGAGAGTCCCTCAACAGATGTTGAAGTGTCCTCATAGAAAAAGTTTTGCTTTTGTGTGCTTTTTATGCAAATTCTTTAAAACTTTACTGACTCTTACATACACATATCTTTGGGAAAAAAAAAAAGAGTATCCACAATAAGACATATATTACACAATTTCCACAGACCAATCATCTTAATAGAAAACAAAGAGCCTTGCAAACTACAGTCATTCTAAAAATCAAAATAGCTTAGCCAGCTGTTAAAGAAGTGCATTCATTATTACTGAATGCATTACTGCTTTAAACATATATAATTCCGAAATAATCTTCTTGAAATAAACACAACTGCCATAAAACATGCTGGACTTGCAATTGAAGACAAAGCACACTGTATTTGTTGTATTAAAACTCTGACAAAATACATTTTAATCATGTCCAGTCTTATGAATTCTAAAAAAAACTGGAATACCATTTGGCCTTCACGATTAATGTGCACTTTATCATTGTAAACAGAGCTTCCTGAACATTTCCATAAAGTCTGCTTTTTGAATCAACATTTAAACAGTCAGCATTGCCCTTTCTCTCCTTTTATGTTGTGGTGGTTGTGTGTGGATTCTAAATAAGGTATAAGATATCAAGAGTTTTCATATTAAAGTAGAGAAAAATAATTTAATCACAGAAAAGAGATGGAAATCTGAATGACCTCAGGTATTAGCTTTGTTGACACGAATGGTAGAATTTGTGCTCTCCTTATCCATCTCAGGAATTAAAGAATTTTATGTGACATGGCTGATGTGCTGATCAATAAAACAACAACAATCATTTACACTGCAGGTTTAGTGCAGTTTCAAAAATCTGCACTAACCAAGCTGGTAGTTGCAGCAGAATCAATACACAAGGCATCTTGCTTAGTGGTGTGCATGAATGAAGTACGACTAAACTTTTAACACCCAGCGGCTACAGATTAAGATGACAAAATTCATAGGCAGAATGTGTTCTGCAGGCTATGCGTAACAGTGTGCTTGAGAGGGTAATGAACAATAAAATGTTAAAAGTATTAAGAACTTCTTATTTTGATTTTCACTCTGCTTCACTCAGTATTTACACTGAGTTGGCAGTCAGCATTCATTTTATTTTAAGACCTGTTGCAAAGGACCTCTGTAGATTTGCTGCTGTGTCTTCATCTGTCAGTTCTATAGCTTCATGTTACTCTAAATCTCTCCTATATTCCTAAGCACTCATCTCCTTATTTGGCACACTTTAATCTCTTAAGTAGCTCCTTATTATTTTCAGTGAAGTTTCTGATGTGTCACACCTGCTACAGGAGTCAATCATCTTTAGTTCACAATGCAGATAAAAGGAATTAAACTGCTTTTTATTAATGTTTTAATATGTTCGTGTTTAAACAACGACTCCAACTGGTACTATTTTAACCAAGATGCTTGCATTCAGGACTACAGCTTTGTGAGATAAAGTAAAACAAACATCAAATCATTCTTTTCTAATTTGCTAAATCAAATAGTTTCATTAAATCTGCTTTAAATGTTTTCTGTGTTTTTTTGTTTGTTTGGTAGGTTTTCTTTCCCCTCAGCCGGTTCAAACTTCCCCAGTGTTACATCTTCTTGAAACATGGACTATTCTCAATAAACCCTAAGAATCTTTCTTTTCATTCACACATATACAAGTATACCAGATCTCAATTCCCCAGACAAACAGAAATTACCAAAAACCTTAGCGTCATGATGAAAATACGTGATAGTCATTCACTATCGGTGGAAACTCCCCCTACAATAACAAAAGAATTAACCATTTTTTGATGTTACATGATTAGCCAAAAGGAAAAATATCCTAAACCGCTGAAGAATCTGTACTTCTCTCATCTATATTTTCATTTATTCAGAGTATTGAGCTCATCAATGGTTCTCATTCAAAATAATCTAACCATTCCTCTCTTTTCTTCACTGAAAAGCAGGCATCTTCTGTTCCAATCAATGAAGGACGTACACAGTACCGTCTATCTGGCGGTGAAATAAACCTCTGCAAATTGGGAATTCATTAACAGGTACTATACAACAATAAAGAATCTGAGCTACCGGCTTTCCAGGTTAATTTTTTTTTCTATTTCTGCTATCATGGTCAATGAAATGTAAACACTTTACGAATGCTGCGGTACACATTGTTTAAATCAGCTAACTTACTAACAGTTGATTATCTTAAATCTGTGAAGTAAACAAGAAGAGTGAATATTAAAGACAGTAGCTCAGCATAAAGAATGTGATATGCCCTTGAACTTATAACACTGCAGTAAGCAATTACCTTAAAGAAGCCACCCACACAACAGAACTATGGCTTTGTTCCTTATCTTCAAAGAACAAGCCACTTGCATCTGGATCAAATCCTTTAAACAATACACGAACACACAACATCAAAGCACTTTCATTTTCTTCAGTTATTTAATTTAATTAGAGCTAATGCAGACATGAATTTAGACACTGATTGCTGTGTAGAAAATCCCCAGAAAACATGTTCAAGAAATTAATCAATTTGAGTTTAATTTTATAAAGATTTTTCTCCCAGTACCTGACAGGAGCGCCTCTGCTCTGTGCAGGTTTCAGCAAGACTGTCACAGTGCTGTCAGTTTGATTCAAAGGTGTTTCAAGTTCATATGGTGGCATAGAGGGTGCTAGAATAAGAAAAGAGGCAAAACCAATCATTATTCCTGTATTTCTTCTTTCAATAGCTGTATCTTTATTTGAATAGGTAATTTTAAAGACTTCTTCAAATGCAAAGGCCATATTATAGGTCTAAGATGCTTTCTGTTACAACACAAGTGTGAGACAACTGTTAAATAACTTAAGAAAAAAAGAAAAATACCACCCAACCAAACAAAGAAATCCCAGCTCACTGCCAGTTTCAAGACAGCAAACAGATACTAGTAGGAGTAAATTTGCAGAAAGTATTGAGAAGCCATGACTTGGAAGTAAAAAAGTTAGCACACGAAGAGCATCTGCAGATGTGCACGCTGAACTGACTACGGTTTATGAAACTGAGTCCAGCTTTCTCAGTATGTCAGTGGCATTAGGATGCACTCTCAGAACTTGTCATTCCTGGAATTTTAACTAGCGCTGTGACTGTCCCGAGTCTAATGTCCACCACAGACACAATTTACAATAATGATGCAGGATGATCACCATGAGGGCTTATCTTAGTTCAAAGCCACACTCAATAGCACTTTTGCAAACTGTGTGTTCATTAAGGAACTACAGTTGGGAATAAAACAAATGATGCCTCAGTTACTGTCTTTTACTGTTGCTACTTTTTTCAGTGCTATCATCTGGTGGCATTTTTATCATTATACTGAGTGGAAGGCTGCTTGGTTAATTGACTGTGTAGCAGTCTCTTGAATCCTTGTTGTCCATTTGGTAACGATGACACAAAATTAACAGATTTAAAGGCTACAGAAGCAAAAAGCGGTCATTGCAAGGATCTTTTCTGACCATGAGAATAATGCAGAGCAGTGATGTTCCCTAAAATATTTCCTTCTTGAAAAAGAAAATACATTTGGTGGGAGAGAAGATCTTTTATTTAGCAAGTTCTTCCAGTGGTTAATTCTACTTCATGTTGAACACTGAGACCTATTTGACATCTCAGTTTGTTTAGGTTCATCTTCCAGCCACTGGATACTTTGTGGACCATACTGATAAAGTTATTCAGAATATATTACGCTCCACATACAGATAATATCAACCTTCAGGCTCCTCTAGCAAACTAAATAGCTCCAATAATGTGGGTCTGTCTTTTAAGCCTATCTTCCAATCCTTTTCACCTTCCCAGTAGTAGCTGCATCTACTTCAAAGCTGCACGAACTTGTCTCCTTTATTCATACTGCCCTGTATATAGATCAGTAAGGATTGCTTTTGAACACTTTTGTCCACATATCTTCAGTCTGCTGTGAAAACATTAACATCTTCATCACTTTTCATTGATATTCACCAGTTTTGAAATGCTTCACAAATAAAAGAAATAGTCTTCAAAAACCTCCCTGTAAGCTGAGAGAGTTTAATTCTATCTACAATCCTGGACATAAAGCACAAACATCGAGATTAATCATTATAAGTAATTTGGGTACCCACTGTGAGAAGCCTAGAGGCATAATATTCCACAGTGCTTTAAAGATTCAGACACGATGTTCCCATTTTTCAGTTCTGCTGTTTTGAACATCCAGAACTTGTTTACATAATGCCCCATTTTCAGGTTGACCATCCTGAAAATAAGGGGAGCACAGAGTAACTGCATCTCCAAAAAGCTCTATGAACTCTGAATGTTTCTGGAACACTAACTTCTTGCCCTTGTTCTCCTGCCCACACCTTCCCAAGTCTTGTAATCTTCCTAACTTACGACTCCAAGGTCCCTACCTGCACTCTTTACTCATCTTAGTCTCCCTCCACCAAAATTGTTTTCTTGTCCAGGATATGAGTTGTGGTTCTTCCAGTCTCACCTTTTAGCCCTGGCTACTTTTTCCTCTTCTCCACAGACAGCGGACATTATCTATTCTTACACTTTTCTCTTGTCCAGGTTAGGACCCTTCCTCCACCTCAGTGCCCACACGTAAAGAAGAAGGAACTTATCCATAAACAGAGAAAACAGAAGATACTCTTCCTGTTCACAGTTTTTGCAACAGAAAGCTTAGAAGCACTAAAAGGTAATGCCCTTAGAGGCTGTATCTGTGTTGGGTCATGCCAGGTTGATGAACACACAGGCAAGGCTCTAAAAGCTTGGCGAACTTAAATCTATTTAGTAATGATGTCATCAGTGGTGACATTTGCTGCTCAATTCTGTCAAGTTTCCACCATTTGTGTGCAAACTACAACATTTACAAGTTGTCCAAACCTGGATAGTTTTTCAGAGTGATGCCTCAAATTAACGTCTCTCTTCTTGCTAAATATTTAAATCCCTGTTTGAAAGCACTTAAGTAATGTCTTGGTCACCAGAATTTTTCATTATATCAACCATTTTCCTGAAATGGATGAAATTCTTCTTAGCGTGAAAGGCAGCGTACAAAATTTCAACCCGCATAGCTGACTTTTTCAAAGTTATATGCAACAGAAAACAGTCTTCTAGTAGAGTGCCCATCAATTTAGACAGCAGGCACTGCTACGCGCTCTGCTTTTGGTAATACGTATTTACATACAGATCACTTCATCCATCACTGCCAATCACACAGCTATGGAATGAAACATGGCAACTGTTTACAGTACAGGATAGTACTATACTACTCAAACACTTAAGACAGGCAATTAAGAGTGTTTCATTCAAATGAAAATGCAGTCTAGAGTCTGACAAAGTAAAATGCAACGACTCAATTCAGAAATTGGTCAGAACATACTGCTGCCACCTCATCTATTCTAAAAAAAATAGTGTAGCCTTTTATCCATAGATGTTCTGCATTTCTGTTTGCATCTCTCCGAAACTGAGAGCACTGCCCACATCAAAAGCGTCAAAGCCACACAGTGAGCCAGTGACATCACAAGCCAATAGCACTGCCAAGCGGGTACCACATTCAAAAGTTAAAATTTCAGTTGTGATTTTTCAATGATACTAAGAGATCTGCATTCTGCTTCTATTTTAAATTCATCAAGAAGTTGGCTTTATCTACCCAAAGACAAGTCACAAACATTCCCTGTTAGCACAGCAGTGAACACGAAGTAATGAGAGCGTGGGGTGCAGACAAGACAGCCTGCAGAACCTCGCTGCCTGGGAGCCTGGAGGTTAGTCTCATTCCCAAGCACGCCTGCAATGTCTGTGTACACTACTGAGTCTTAGTTGGTGACACAGCAAATTTAGAAAAGAACAACAAGGTAAAATCCAGCACTATTCCCAGATGCTCAGATTATCTTCCACTCTCAACACTCTCCTTCCTTCCTCATTCTAACAAGGGCTGACTATGCCATCCTAACTCATATCGAGTCTTGCTGTATGGGAAGTTGATTTCTGACTGAGAAAGTTTCTGCTCAGTACAGGAAAGGAGATGGAAAATGAACCCCATCATTACTGATCAGTGTTAATTATGTTTAGACTTTCTATAAAGAATAATCTTCTTACTTGAAAATCTAAAACTTTTTTTTTTTCCTCTACAAACACCCATACTGGCAATAATTTCCACCTTGCATTAACTGCCTTTTCCAATAATAAGAAAAAAGAAAACTGCTCTGATTAACACTTGTTACTTTTTTTCATTCCAGTGAGGACAGAAAATGAGTGATGGGGAAAAGTACAAAGAATGAGACTAAATGAGAAAGAATATTATGTACCCAAAAGCCTGCCTTTATCCTTTCTGAAAAGCAAGGTTAACCACAAATAGATAAGGTAATTTTCTGTCAATATTATCAAGGGGCCATAGTTCAACTGGCAGTTTAATTCCCAAGAAGAGTAGAGAGAAGTGAAGAGTAAAGGGACTTCAACTGTAACCCTGCAAAACATTTTGTCATCAATTACATTCGCATTTGAGAGTATGTAATAGTATTGCATCTCATCAGCCAGAGAAATGGACTGTTCCTCTGCCTCTGGGAGGGCTTTAAAATACTGTTCATGAATCTGCAGAGTGACAGAATCATGCTGCTGTTATCTGAAAGCCACTAGTCTTGATGTTCTTGTCTAATACAGTTTCATCCCCACTTCAGTCCACACGCCTGCTCGGAACATACGCAGGCTGGCAGTTGGCTACACTTTCCAAGAGAGCACGAGATACAGCGCATTTCTGCTCTGCTCTCAATTGTTCATGGCTCATTAAAGAGATTTTCCAGCACCGTTACTGTACTAATTTAGAATCATGTCAAGGCTGACTAAGCTCTGAATGGAACCCTCATCCTCATGTCCAAAAAACCCTATGCTACATGTTGCAACAGCAGCTGGCACTGACTGCAGGCACATAATTCATAGGGCTTCTTCGGGTGATAAGTTACAGTTGTGAATAGGAATTTCAAAGCACGAGCCCATATTTAAGCGCTTGAAAGTTTTTCAGATACGCTGACGTACGTCACTGACATCTTCAGGGCTGAACGTCTATTTTACTTCTTCAATGTGCTGCTTCTTCAAACAAAAAGAAGTAAACAACAAAAGAATCGCCCATGTCATTATCATAAACAAACAATAACATTCTTTAATTGAGTACCTGATATTTTAGTGGTGAACTGGTTTGTGATTGGAGGTCCAAAGCCTTTAGCCGTGCTGGCTCTGATGGTAAAAGAGTAGGTAGTGCCAGGATACAGTCCAAAAAAGAGATAGTGCGTTTCATTTCCTAGCTTTGAGACTCGTCCACTTTGATTGGATAAATCTATTTCTGGGTCAAAGGAACTGACTGCTTTGTAGGTGATCTGCAAAAGAGTAAGAAAGTTATAAACTGCCTTGAGCAGATGGACAGAGATTGCATCTTTATCCAGTAAACCCTTCTGATGTATGCGCTGTCAGACATTTTATGATAAGCTATCTTACCCTCTTATACTCTTCAAATCCCGAATCCCACGAAGGGACACAGAAACTCAGCCATAACTGGTATGAGTTATTACTCTTACAGATACAGAGACTTACAGGCAGCTAGATTACAACTCTGAAGGATGGGTTCAGGCTTACATTAATTCCTTCAAGATGCTGGCTTTACCAGTGTCATTTTATGAATTCATCTTACTGTTGGTTTTGATCAACAACCATAACAAAACCAAAACAACCACGTAAAAACAGATAAGGGAATAACAGAAGGTGTAGACTCCAGTTCCAGCTGACTTCACTATAATTACACTTCTGCTCCGAGTAAGATTATCCATAAAAAGATGATAAGGGCAGCTTAAGGCAAATTTTTCAGAAAGTGGGTAAAGCTTGTATTTTAGTCTGAAGCTTAGCTATTGTAATTGCTAATTTGGAAGCGTTCAGGTTATGATATCGTGCCTAGGTCAGATTCTCATTCAGAGGAAAGGAAAGATAAAATGTTAAGTAATATATGCAAAGTGTATATTCTATCCTCAGTTCTTTGATTCAAACAGTATTTTTAGTTTTCATTAGAAATGTTAATATAAAGTTCACAGCAAAACTTGATCCAGATTTCTTCTATTAATTACTAATTTCCATGCACTGTAATGAGAATTTAAAAATAAAAAATCCATTAAAAAATTAAAAAGTAAAGATGATTCATCCCTCCTTTTTACTTTTAGTTTCATTTGTATGTGAATAATTCCAACATTCTTAATATATAAAGTGATAATTGACATTCTTTTTGCTATATTTATTCCATATCCTTATAATTAAGAAGACACATAAAACAATACATAGAAGCATCTAAGCAGCAGCATTACACATCTTAAGAACTTGCAATTTCCTAAAACCTCTGACTTAATGAAAATTGATTTTTGTGTTACCCTTCCAATATAACATCAGCAAAGTGTAATAAATTACAATTAGTAATAAAAACATTGATATTCTCTAGATAAACCCTGACATTATTTCAGTAGATATAGGCAGATGCTCTGTAATTCCTCATCCATAAACTGGATCCTTAAAAACTGCTCAACTAAACCCTCCCAAATATAACAGAAGACTACCAAATAGCTAAACTTGTATCAGTAAAGAAATTAAGATTAGATATTGCCCAAAAGAACCCCCCTTTCTGATGGAAGGTGTTCTGTCTGCTTGTGGGAGAGTGGGTCACAATTTTTTTTTTTTGAGATTTTAAGACAGGTTAGACAATTGCATCACAACTATGTTTTATATATAGCTGATCCTGTTTTACCACAGACACATGGCCTAAATGGCCTCTTGCAGCTCCTTTTAACTCTGTTTTGTATTTCTATGATCCTTAACTGGATTTTCCAAAATCCCACTTAAATTTTATTCAAAATAACACCAGGCTATTGGAAACTCTGCAGTCTATGTTAGGTTCTTATAAATCTCTTGCAGCATTTAGCTATTAGATAGCTAAGTGTCTGACGCCCCATAACGAAACAACACTCCTACTTGTAAGACTGTTCATACTTCTTTTTTTTTAAAACTGGTTTCTTACATCCCCCATTGCTAATACCAGTTCAGCTTTGCGGTCATGAAAAAAAAAGAGAGGGCACGAGGGTCATTTTCTCACTGGATGTTGACTGTTTGTATCGAATTTAGATGAAGCCTTGCCCAAAGGACTAACCACTTTATTCCTACAACTGCAGACCTGTACTGGTGACAGAGGAGCAAAATGGTGTAATTTGTCATTATGTCATTTCTGCATCTAAAACTTTTTTCTCTAAATATTGGTAAAATAATTGGATTTGCACTTAGTTTCACAATAGCGACGAATACTTTAATCCTTTATACGTCAACGCCCAGTTTTCCTCACCACATATATTAAAAGACTGTCTCCTTCAGGCACTAAAAAACAATGCCTGGCCTCAGGAAACAGACTAAGTTAGGAGATTTCTAACAACATAGGAAGTTAGGCACTCAGAGCAAGAAATGCTACGCAGAGGTGAGACTGTGCTTTCTCTCTGGGAGGAGGAATGCAGACTCAGGACTGCACATTAATTTCATCTATCTGCTGGGATCAAGACCCTGGGACCTCCTGCAGAAAGGAGGTGTCTGCTGCTGTAGTCTTACGTCTCATACTATAAATAATGGCTACCAGCTGAAGAGCTTGCTCCGGACAGGGCAGCCTTGCTCCTAGGTCTGACTCAGGCCTACATACTGTGAGTTTTGCATCCCCCGAGCTGTGTGTCTTCAACTCTAGCCTAAAGTACCCTGTGCTCTCATACTGGCTTTCCTCCTGGCAGTACAATTCTTCTGCCCCTGGTTGTGCTCAGTCCAGTGGCCGGTGACACATGAATGGAAGGAGAAGCGGCTCTGCGCCCGTCACTCCTCTGCAGGCAGATTATCACGAACAGGGGAATCCCGCAGGCTGAAATGCCCCCTACCCAGGCATACTCCCCACTCAGTTCGTGCTCATCTGCTAGGCCATCTCTGGAAGGCGAATGCCACGAGCAGCACAGTTTTCATAACCATACCAACTGTGGCATACGATTGTGTAAGAGCAGCTTTAGCGGCTATGCTTTTTAGATTGGAATTGTGGACATACACGCAGCCAAGGCTCAGATGCCTCTTTGGCTTCCAACAAGGCATCAGCAGGAGCTAGACACCTCAGTTCACAAGCATGGGTGATTTGGAACTGTGCCAGGTGCATTACCTTGACAACACAAGGATCAGCCGGAGAGGGGCCAACTGAGACATCATGGATGATCTAAGTCAAGCTATAAACCACAGGCAACTGGAGTACATCTAACTTGTCTCAATCTTACCCTGTGAGCTACTTCAGTCAGCTAAAATATACCAAAGTATGCTTTTGTATTTCACTTGAACTGTACATTTAAAATAGGTAAAGTGTCCCCGTCATTCATTGTGTATATTTGTTGGCCCCTAGGTAGTTTACTAGTTGTATTTATAAAAACTCTGTCATATGTTTTACGCTTATAAGCAAATCAGGGCAGAAAAAGTATTGACCAACAAGCTTCCAGCAACTAGGTGTCATTTCATATTCAGACGGTTGATGTGACGGAGTTGGCATCTTTAAAACAAGGGATAGTTTGGTTGCATTACTCTGTAGGTTATCTTTTGCTTAAAAATTCATTAAATCAAGTTTCTGATTTAAGTGATTGCCTTGTTCCCTCCATCTCTGCTCTGAGGTGTATTAGATAAACAATATAAGGACAGACCTGTATTTCCCTCTCAATATTCTCCTCACTGTTGGAATGCTGGTTTCTTTTGATGTTCAGAGACTTGCACTGTCCTGCCTACCTTAGAAACTCTGGCCAAGCTACTCTCTTCCATCTCTGAATACACCTGCCTAACTCCCATTACAGCTGACAGAGTTATGTATGTCTGTACATTTACGAATGAACTGCACGTATATAGTGCATGTGCTCCTCAGCAATGTAATTATGACATTCATGCATGTTTGTAAGTAGAAAGATGATTCACCACTGTGTGTTTCTAGGTACATAAAGCCTAACATCAATAAAAACATTAACATATGAACTAAAACATTCTGATCCCTGAAGATAGGCAACTGCTGGAAATAGCTGGAAAATAGTTAGCTTCATAAAAAAATAAATTCATCCTCTTTCGTAACATTTTATCCTGTTACAATAAAATAGTTTTCAAAACAATATCAATAGGTTATCATTCAATTTATTTTTTCTTTTACATCGTATCTCGTTTAGGTGGGTTTTTTTGAACAAAGCATTTCAATACCAATTTTGTAGTAAGGTCAGGTAAGAAGCTTAACAGTGATTACTGTGTGACAGCTTAATCTGTGCAGTCTTTTGTCAATTTTTCTAAAAGGTATTCAGGCAGAGGTTCCACAAGAGGAAAAGCAGCGATTTTTAGACATCTAACAACATATAATTTTGTTGAATTTGCATTGAAAAAATGCTAAATTTTTTTTTAATTATGCCTGCTTGTTTCTATTACAATAGGCTTCCTGTACTGAGCCTTATCTAAATGTGATGTTGACTGTCACCACTATGTTATGTCTCCTACTTTTTTTTAAATTCACTAAGATCTGTCTTTCAATCTTAAATATTTGATCCACATTACCAGACAGAATGATGTATCACATGGTTCTAAAAATAGCAGTTTTCTTAAAGCTGACAACCCAGGGGCATTCTGGGTCCTACATTATTCAACCTTACGTTATACATTTGATTTTATTACTTTGTAAGTGTTAATCTATTCAAAAATGAAGACTAATTTTACATAAACTGGAAAAAAATTCACTTTCTTCCTAATTATGCACTTCTGAAAATCAAAACTATACATAAAAATTAAAACATGGCAAAATGTTAGGTACCTCATACAAAGTAATCACACCATATGTTTGCGCTGGCTCTCTCCACTGAAGAAAAATCTTCTCTTCAAATGTGCTCCCTTGAATGGATTCAAGTGGAACAGCACTAGGGACTAAAGGATAAAAAAAGGAGAAAACACTGGTTTTAGAAAAATTTCAGAAGGAGACACTCTGCTTAATATTTGCACTGTTATGACATAAAAAAACATCCCACTGTTATTTCCCCAAGACAGAAACAAAGGCTGGGGTAACTCAGGAGGAAGATGGTTTATTTAATGAGAGCGCTATTACGGAAACATAGGTGTCACCTTCGGCATAAGAAGGAATTGATGAGCATTGCGCTTTTCCTGCAAAACACTTCTGATGAAAGAACAAATCAGCTTTTTGTAAGGAATTAGGTATCTCAAATATAAATCCTTGTAAATAAAATCCATTTGTGATACTTGCCTATCAATAGTGTTATTATCCCATAGTGAAAAGACATATTAAACACTTATATGAAAATGGACAAGCATTGAAGTAAGAAGGTATAGTTTCAACAGACTGAACTAGAATGGCCAGTTTGGAAAGAAGAGCCACATGTTGCACAGAACAGCAGTGCTCACTAACATTAGCCCTTAACCTACAACCAGGTGAACACAAGAAAATTATGAAGCAATCAAACTGAAAATCTGTTGTTACTAATTTTTCTTAAAGTCTCTTAATTTATGAAAATGACCCTGAAGACTAAGGGATGCCAGAAGGTTCTGACAGGTATGCCAACTGCCCTCAGGTATCTACTTCTGTCTCCTGTTTGTTCTACAACCTTATTCCTGAGCCAAACTCAATGCAGCTTTCAGAGAAGGAGATTTGCAAACAGCACATGGACAGATATCTGTGATTTTGCTTTTGTAACAACACTAACGATTGCATGTGAAAATCCTGAAAAATGCACACAGGACTGTTGTGAGGCCACAGGCACTGATGGGTTTGCACTTTTCACAAACTATGTGAAGATCCGGTAAGAAGATATACTTAACATTTTCATAGAATTAGGGCATGGTTTGGGTTGGAAAGGACCATCTAGTTCCAACCCCCCTGCCATGGGCAGGGACACCTTCCACTAGACCAGGTTGCTCAAAGCCTCGTCCAGCCTGGCCTTAAAATTTTGCATATATTAGAGGAAGAAAGTGGAAACTACTTGCTGCAGTGGTGTGCTGGGTTCAGTCAGGAAAGAGTTAGGCAAGGGAGGATTTGTGAGAGCGGCTTCGAAGCTGTGTTCCTTGATGCAGGGAGCAGCACTGATAAGTTCTTAGCTGGCACTGGGACCTGCACCAGTTTCAAGGTCTTTCTCCACTTCTGATACTTCAGCTGCATTCCCAGCTCTCACTGTCTCGCTACTGGTCCTGTATGGACCAGTAAGATTATGTCCTTAGGGCAACCTTAAGTTTGGGCATTAAACCTTGCTTCCAAGTAGGAGAGAACTGATAAAACTCATTTGGAATCGTGGGATTAATGATTTATGTGTAAATGGAGAGGAATTAAATACAGTGTAAATAAGTTGGAAGTATAGCAAAGCACTGTGGTTACCCTCTAAAGTTACCTGAAGGCCATAAACTCTGAGCTGTTATGTCATAAGGGAGGTCAAACAGTCACAGAGGTTTCCTAGAGAGGTTGTAGGATATCCGTCTTTGGAGATACTCAAAACTCATCTCTACAAGACCTTGAGCGATCTGTTCTCACTCAATCTTCTTCGAGCAAAAGGTTGCAGTAAATGAGCTCTGGAGATCCCCTGCAACCTACATGATCATGTGATTCAAATAGTTATGGTGATTATTTGGGTTAGTATACTCTGTGTTGTTACATCCAGATTGATGTACCTTACTGAAAGTGTATGGTATACAATAAATTTATAATTTTTGTCCAAGTTATTCTCTCAACCCCAGATGCTGGTTTTTAATAGGTCTTGGAATAACATGGAGTTTCATAGGCCCAGGAATAAGAAAATATTATGCAAAATTTTAGAGAAAAATACATTAACAGCCCAGATAACAATAAGGTCTTTAGCTTTGCCATCCTACAATTGAACCAGATCAAAATTAGAGGATGACAGCAAAATTAATTCTAATTAAACCATATTTTGTTAGCTATGCTTTATCAAATCTGTTGCATTAGCAACCATACATTCCTAAATTGTTTAATTTATTCCCTCATACATTTTGATTAGAAATCAGTACTGCACAAAACCAATATAGCATATATTAAATTATTTAATAGGTTTAAATGACAGACTTCAAGTATTTATTATGAGAGGAACTCGTCATTGCTGAAGCTTTTTCTAAGTACCTTTCCAACATGTTTGCAGTAAATCTATCATTGATATGGAAGAAAACACAAAGCCATTCCTGTTCAGACTGCCAATGATAAAAAGGGGAGGAGGACAGATCTGTTATATAAAGCAACACCAGTCATTTGATACCGTTTCTGTGAACAGTAGGCTTTTCAAAATGGCTAAAAGCAAGGTCAGAAAACCTAAGGTACACTTGTAGATGGCCCTAAAGGGCTATACCTCAGCACAGAGTGTTCTGGAAAGGTGAAACTGACTCCTACTGCATGACCAATTCAACAGGGAAGCCCCATTTTGGTACTGTAGCTAACAGAGTTCCAGAAAACTCTCTGCATGAGTAAGCACAATAATATCATGGAGGACTTAGGAGGATGGCATAACCTTTTCCTGCAGTATCACAGAGACACAGTAGCCAATTCCGCTGTCCATACATCAAAAAAAGACACTCACACATTATGTTATTTCTCAAAAAGAGATCCGAAAACCCAATGTTAGCTGAAAATCACTAAAAGAAAAGGAGTATCTACATATTTGAAGGTCTGTATATGGAACATATTGTATGAATAAGCAACTAACAGTGCCCAGTGGTTGCAAGAATCAAAGCTAGAGAAATTGAAACTGGAAATGAGGAGCAAATATTTGATGTTGAGCATATCATTCAGTAGAAAAGCTTACAAGGGGATAATGTGGACAATCAGATGAAATTTCTTCAAAGTGATACTGGAACTTTTAAGAGGCAGAACATAGTTCAAGCACAATTTATGAGTTTAATAAAGAAACGATTACGTGATGTGGGATGTTATAGGTTATGTAAAAGATCATTGTAACACTTTTAATGGACCCTTTACTGCCTTAAGATTGCTGATGGTGGAAAATCTGTTACAGATTTTAGTGAAAGAAGAACATGCACTTGTGTAGAGAAATGTTTTGACTATCAGGTTGTATGCCTGTACAATGTATATGTATACGTAAATACATAAACTCACCATCCTCATCAGTTTGTACTACAAGTTCTTGGCTTTCTTTTCGTCCTTCGGGATTCATTAGAACTAATTTGATGCTGACATTTGTGTACGGTGATAGATTAGTAATTGTGTGCTGGGGATGTGAACTCTCTGTATCCCAGCTTACTTCTTCTCTCACTTGCTCTTGTCCTCCAGCCTGGTAACGGTAATGGACGGTGAGGTTGTACCGATGGCAACGTGTGACATTATATCCAAATGGTTCCCAGCAAATAGTGATTTGTCTAGATTTGATCTCCACAACCTCCAGTTTTTGTGGCCCACGCACCGGATCTGCAAAATTAGCAACATAATTCTGGTATGATTATTTATTGATATATTGTAATAGTAAGTAGCATGAGTAATACAAAGTTATACAGTCCTATAAATATGACATAAGCAGAAAAAGAAATTCATTGCTTTATCTGTCATAGTGGAAATGACAATAAAAGTATAGGTCTCTGAAAAAACGGAAAAAATACACAGTGAGAAAAGGAGAGAGAACTGGCTTTGATGAAGAATGAAGAACAAACAAAATCCGGAGAGTTTTTGTGCTTAAACTCAAACTGCATGATACAGTTTAAATGGCACTTAGTATTTACCTATCTGTTGCTTGCAAAAAATAAGCATATCTGTTTTTTTAAAAATAATTTGTGTTAACACTTTTAGAGCAAAAACCTTCACAAAACAAGTACCTAAAAAGAAAAGGTAATTTTAGGGAAAACTTGCAAATACCTGGTGATTTTCTCCCAGGACTGTTTTATATAAAGAAAAAAATCTTAGGTGGTTCTTCAGCTATTTCTTACTCATTTGTTTTTTTAAGTTAGACTGAATGCAATTACTCAATTCCTATTTGGCCACAACATTAATTTAATATTCCAGTTTCTTTAAAACAGTCCATAGGGTTCTTTTCCCATAAGCATGAGTTGTTAATAGCTTTTTGTTTTGGTTTGGTTTTTTAACCACATCTAAAATACACAGTGCAAATATCTTGGTCTGTAGAAGTGCTTTAGCAAAGAATCAAAGAAACAGCAGGAGGCACATCAGCCGATATCCCACTGCATCTGAGCCTTCCTAGAGATTTCCCACCAGCCACAGATCACATCTAACAAAAATCCTGCCCCAAAACTTACAGCTCTTTATATACAAGAGCCAAAGACTGTGCTTGATGAAATTAAATCTTCCTCAGGCCAACTGGTCCCAGCAACTGAGATTGAAAACTGAACCCATATTTCCACCATGTGACAGCAAAACCACTGAGTTGACACATACCTCATATTCCAAACACTGTCATTAATAGAGACATTATACATAGTTAGCCATAATCTGGGGCTTTTTCATATTGGAGCCCTCAACAAGATTAAAGACAATGTCTGGTTTTATCCACTGCTTCACTAGTTAAATGCTTAGAAGACTTTTAATGAGCTAGAAGCCTCTTATACATAAACAAATTAATATGCATCTTTCCTCTTTTATGTTTATTAATCAACATGTCTTCACTAGGAATGTTCTAAACAATTTACACAGGATTTCATCTTTTTACTTTTTTAATAAAATCCCTGCATGCTTGAAATATTTGTTCAAAGATGTTATTCATCTTAACTCCTTGAAGAAAAGGTGTTGAAGAAATTGCTTGTTCTAACATCTACAAAGCAGGGTAATTTTTCTTCTTTTAAATCCTCCAGCTTCCTTTTTTTTTTTTTAATTAATTGCCACTCTCCAACAGCGCTGATCACCAATACAGAATACTTGCCACTTGGCGACAAAAGGGCAAAGCAAAATAAATTCAACAGCAGATCTAATCCTGGTTTCCATTCCAGTGACGAGACTGACTGGTAAAAATGTCCGCACCAAGGATAAAACAGCATAGAGCCATTTACCTGCTTCCAACCTCAGATAACCCCAGTGAAGAATCCTGGTGTTTGGGATACTTTCTATTGCTACAACAAATAATCAGAAGCAAACCTCAAAGGGGAGAGAGTCCTAAGAGTTTCACATCTTCCTGAAGCATTTACTTCTGCATCATTCAGACAAAAAATTCATGGAAAAGGAGTCTTCCTTTTTTTCTTGGTTTCCTATCAGCTTCTAAGCATTTCTTCATTTAGGTGAGACTGAATAGCAAAGGATATTTGATGGTTATTGTGTAACTGTAATGCTACCCCAGCTGGCTAAATGGGACTAGAAAACCAACAAAATTGAGGTGACCCTGACATACGACATTAAGCACTTGAACAAAGCTCCTAGCTGCAAGGATATGGAACAGCCTGCTTAGTTCCATTACAGACACATCAGAAAATTCACAGGGGAGCTGAGAAATCATTTTATTAGAGACATAGAACTAATTCGTAGCATTTTAAAACTGAAATTGAGTGGTTGTACAAAGAAAACCTGGATCAAAACCTATCCAAGATTTCTGCCCAGGAGGAAGATGTTCTTATGTCACGTTACCTTAATAAAAAGTACAAGTTAGCCCTCTAGTAAAATCTTGAAGTCATTGCTATGAGAATGACAGACACATATTCACTTCTCACAAAGACAAGGGAAAAAAAGAGATTACATTGTAAAAGATGGAGACAACACAGCTTTTGTTGATATCCACAGGATAAAGCTCATCAGACAAGGTAAATACCCTGGTTGCTTTGGTTCCTGACTTGATGCTGTAATCGACAGTATCAGACAACTATGCAGCTCATATCTGGTTTTCTTACCATGCATTCAGGGACTGTGCTACTGATAGGGCACTAATGACCCCTCCGTGAGGTAAGTGCAGGGTGTCAACCAGTTAATGCGTCAACCAGTCAATGACAGCACTTAGCGGAAAGAGAGGGAGAGGTAGGATATAAAAAACCCTGAGACACTGCAGAGAAAGGACACTGAAGGAAAAATAAAGCAAGATCTTATACGAAGCACCAGGTAGGATAACTGCTGGTTTATGGGGAATGTCCACTGAGAAAGTGAGGCTGAGTATTCCAAAGAGGTTTGTCCATGAAAGAGCCTCTGAAGATACAGGCCTGTACTCCAAAGAATTTACCCTTCAACATCACTTGCAAATTCTCAAAATGGACATGGTTATTGGAACAGATGATGCTTTATTATTTATTTCATCAAATAAGCCTAATTCCTGAATTACCACTTCTTCATTTGCTTTATTTTATTTTTTTTTTTCTTTCCAGTATCACATTTCTTTCATTTATCAGACATCACTTTGCTACAGAACTGACGGTATCAGTTCTCATCTGCTCTATATAGTTTTATAACAGATTTATATGTTTCAAGTACACAACAATTTTTGGTTAAATTCAGTTAATACAAACAGTAAGCAGGGAAGAGATGAAGGGTAAACATGTCTACTTTTAACCAGAAACGCTAAGGTAGCAGCAGAATTTTTTGGATTAAAAAAACATATGGCTCCAAACAGCCATGAAAAATAGCAGTTATTCCAACAAAAGATAGAAAAAGAAGTTTCCATTTGATCAAGTTAGCACTGAGCTTCTGGAAACATTCCTGCATACCCCAGAGGAAATATTTAATGTGATATGGTTCTGAGAGCACATCACATCGCTTCCAATACATGCTCTTCATCATGACGGATGCAGAATACGTGGGGAAAGAAAACTGTTAAGGAACACAAAAAGAATGACAGCTAATGACTATGGTTTAAAAGGGAAAGTTGAATTAATTTACACAGCCTGATGACTTCATTTTGTTGAATTTATTTTCTGTGGGGTCATTTTATCACTTTCCCATGCTAAGTTCCCAACTTTACGTGAAAAAGTAAGCATTGTATAGAGATGCTGCTGCTGTGTTCATGAGACTTGCACTAACTGTTCACGTGGTACTTGAAGGTTGTCATCCTAGCAATGGCCTGCTCTTGTTTCCTTGCATCAGGTAAGTGATGGCTACATGGAGATGTGTCATTTCACAGTGCAAATCACAACTGACATCAGATATTTTAGAGTAGAAGATGAATAAGGAGATCAATATGCCCTACCGATTATATTATATGCAACATACACACCTCATGCCACAACAGCTATTTGCTGAACCTTTGGGTTTTCCTCCCATGGTAAAGGCCCATCTGCCGAGAGGTTATAAAGCCAGGCCTCTCCACGCAGCTCTCCAGATGAACCGAGCCTCTGTTGTTCCTCAGTATTCCAGCTATTTTCTTATGCCTTACTGGTACAAACACGAGGCGAATGGGGAAAATAAGGCCTACCAACTCATAAGAGAAGGGGTTTTCCTCCCAAAGGAGCGTGCTGCCTGTCACGCCTGCAGCTTAGCCAGGGAGTTCCTACTCACTCCCCTGCAAGCGCCTGCAGCGTTTTTCATACTGCTCTCCTTCTGCCAGCTTCAGCGGGGTATCAAGCAGTGAAGTCTGACAGTTGCAGCTCTGACCTGAGGGACCAGCAAGCCTGGTTCTAGCCCCTGGCAGTTTAGCATCCCATTTAATCGCTGATCTTGGCTCCTTCTCTGCTCCTCTTTCTTTTCCTGAGAATATGGAGCAGAGACTGACAGACAGGATCAATTTCCACTGCAGCTGCGATTCACAGCTCATTTCTCTGGAACTTCACACTTTACCTCTTACCATGAGTACAATGCTTTTTCAGAAACTCAATTTCGGGATCACAGAGACATTCAGGTGTATTTTTAGCATCCTGTCATTGATCATCAAAACTTGGCATTAGACTGAAAACTCAGACTGGAAGTTTTGTCTTTTCACCATCCAGTGCACAGATCTACTGAAGTAAGGCGATTTCCTGCCACTCCATGGTACTCGGGCAGCTGCAGACAGCCGGTATGTGTTAGGTAACACCTGCGGGACATCTGAACAATAGGAACGAAAAATGTTCTTCTTTTCTAGGCAAACTACTAGTGTGGTTTAGCTCTGTAATCACCACTCTTGTGACTTATATTCCAGATCGGACTCCACTGTCCTTCCACAGGAAGTAAAACAGCACAAGTAAAAATTCAAGACGAAACCAGAATCATCTGACATTTAAGGTATCATCCACTACAGCCCTTTCAAACATAAAATTTAACTAATGATGATTAAGCGTACAGGCTTTGTCGACAGATTGCCTAAGCAGTCTTGTTCCCATTACTTAACATCCTTTCACATCAATTCCCCCTGAGTAAAGTGGGAGTCACAGTACCCCAGCACCAGTATCAGAGGGCGTCACATATAACTCCTGCATGCCTGCAGGGAACCTGCATACTACCGTGAGGGAGACCATAAGCACACACAAACTTCAGACTTGGTTTCACACACTAAATCAGGGCCACATCTGATTCAGAAGAGAATTTAAGACATGTGCC